ACTGGGATGGACTGGGAGGGACTGGGAGGGAACTGGGATAAACTGGGAGGGACTGGGAGGGACTGGGAGGGAACTGGGATGGACTGGGAGGGACTGGGAGGGACTGGGATAAACTGGGAGGAACTGGGATCAGTCTATACTGGTCCATACTGGTCCATACTGGTTTATTACTGGTTTGTACTGGTTTGAACTGGTCTGTACTGGTCCATACTGGTTTCTATTGGTTTATTACTGGTTTGTACTGGTCCATACTGGTTTGTTACTGGTTTGTATTGGTTTATTACTGGTCCATACTGGTCCGTACTGGTTTGTATTGGTTTATTACTGGTTTGTACTGGTTTGAACTGGTCCGTACTGGTGTGTACTGGTTTCTATCGGTTTGTTACTGGTCCGTACTGGTCCGTACTGGTTTGAACTGGTTTTTGCGGCAGGCCGCGGCTGCCCAAGCAGGGTCTGTCGGAGGCGGCGGCGGCGGCGCGGCTGCGGGCGCTGCCGGCCCAGCACGACCACGGCTACAGCGGGAACGGGCTCAGGTTTGGGGCGAAAAACGGCGAAATTGGGAAAAACGGGAAAAAACGGGGAAAAACGGGGATGGGGGAGGGGCTGCAGCGGGAANGGGGCGAAAAACGGCGAAATTGGGAAAAACGGGAAAAAACGGGGAAAAACGGGGATGGGGGAGGGGCTGCAGCGGGAACGGGCTCAGGTTTGGGGCAAAAAACGGCGAAATTGGGAAAAACGGGGGGAAAAAATGTGAGGAAATGGGAAAAACGGGGAAATTCCAAAGGGGCGGGGCCAAGGCGGGATCTGGGCTGGGTGGGGCCGTGGGGGCGGGGTTATGCAAATGAGGGGGTGGGCCCCCAAGCAGGGGTTGGGTTATGTAAATGAGGGGCGGGGCCAAACAGGGAGGGGAAGGGTTATGCAAATGAGGGGCGGGGTCAAGCAGGGGCTGGGTTATGTAAATGAGGGGTGGGGCCCCGAGCAGTGGCGGGGTTATGTAAATGAGGGGTGGGGCCCAAGCAGGGGCGGGGTTATGTAAATGAGGGGTGGGCCCGAGCAGGGGCGGTGTTATGTAAATGAGGGGTGGGGCCAAGCAGGGGTTGGGTTATGTAAATGAGGGGTGGGGCCAAGCGGGGGTTGGGTTATGTAAATGAGGGGATCAAGCAGAGGCGGGGTTATGTAAATGAGGGGCGGGGCAAGCAGGGAGGGGAAGGGTTATGCAAATGAGGGGGTGGGGCCAAGCAGGGGCTGGGTTATGCAAATGAGGGGCGGGACCAAGCAGGAGTTGGGTTATGTAAATGAGGGGTGGAGCTAAACAGGGAGGGGAATGGTTATGTAAATGAGGGGCGGGGCCAAGCAGGTGTCGGGTTATGCAAATGAGGGGCGGGACTAAGCAGGGATTTGCATGGTTATGCAAATGAGGGACGGGGCCAAGCAGGGGTTGGGTTATGCAAATGAGGGGCGGGACCAAGCAGGAGTTGGGTTATGTAAATGAGGGGTGGAGCTAAACAGGGAGGGGAATGGTTATGTAAATTAGGGGCGGGGCCAAACATGGGTCGGGTTATGGAAATGAGGGGTGGGACCAAGCAGGGATTTGCATGGTTATGCAAATGAGGGACGGGGCCAAGCAGGGGTTGGGTTATGAAAATGAGGGGTGGGGCCAAACAGGGAAGGGAATAGTTATGTAAATGAGGGGCGGGCCCAAGCAGGGGCGGGGTTATGTAAATGAGGGGCGGGGCCAAGCAGCGGTTGGGTTATGTAAATGAGGGGCGGGGCCAAGCAGGGAGTGTCAGGGTTATGTAAATGAGGGGGCGGGGCCAGCTAGAGGACTTTGGGTGTGGAAATGGGGGTGGGGCCAAGCAGGGAGTGGCAGCGATATGCAAATGAGGGAGTTGTGCTATGTAAATGAGGGGGCGGGACCAGCTAGAGGACTACGGGGGCGGGGCCAAGCAGGGAGGGACAGCGATATGTAAATGAGGGGGTTGGGCTATGCAAATGAGGGGGCGGGGCCGTTTCTCTGGGGTTTGGCCCCGCCCCCACCCCTCTCCCCTCCCCCCAGGCTCCCCCCGCCCTGAGAGCGCCCCTCCCCCACCCAGCGGACACCGAGGGGGAGGGGAGGGGGCGGGGCCGCCCCTCCCCCACCGGACCCGGCGAGGGGCGAACCCCGAAAACTCCGTAAAAATCCCCAAAAAAACGCACCGAAAATCCCGGAAAAAAACCCAAAATATCCTAAAAAATAATAAAATATGATTTTCGAAAAAAATTATTAAAAATTCCCAAGAAAATCCCGAATCGTTCCCCAAAAACACCCACCCGGAAAGACCCGAAAAAAATTCTCAAAAAATAAAAAAAAATCCCGCAAAATACCCCCAAAAAAATCACCAAAAAAAATCCCAAGAAATAAAATAAAAACCGGCTAAAAAAACCACAAAAAATACCACAAAAAATAAAATAAAAACTCCAAAAAATCCAATAAAATAAGAAATAAACCCAAAAGGAGCCCAGGCTGGTCTGGGGTGGTTTTTATTGGTGGCCCCTCCCCCCGCCGGCGTTTTGGGGCCGTTTTGGGCGATTTTGGGGCCGTTTCGGGGGGTTGGTGCCATTTTTGGGGGTTTTGGGGCCGTTTTGGGCGGTTTCGGGGCAGTTTTTGGGTCTTTTGGGGCCGTTTTTGGGGGGTTTTGGTTCCATTTTTGGGGGGGTTTTGGGGCCGTTTTTGGGCATTTCGGGGCCGTTTTTGGGCGTTTTGGGGCCATTTTGGGGGATTTTGGGGCTGGTTTTGGGCATTTTGGGGCCATTTTGGGCGGTTTCGTGGCTGTTTTTGGGACATTTCGGGGCCGTTTTGGGCATTTTGGGGCTGTTTTCAGGGGTTTTGGGGCCATTTTGGGCGGATTCGGTGCCGTTTTTGGGGGTTTCGGGGCCATTTTTGGGCATTTTGGGGCTGTTTCGGGGGTTTTGATGCTGTTTTTGGGGGTTTCGGGGCCGTTTTTGGGCGTTTTGGGGCCGCTCTCGGGGGTTTCGGGGCCGTTTTGGGGAGTTTTGATGCTGGTTTTGGGGGTTTTGGGGCCGATTCGGGGCGTTTTGGGGCCGTTTTTGGGGATTTTGGGGCCGTTCTGGGGGGTTTCGATGCTGTTTCGGGGTGTTTTGGGGCTGTTTTTGGGGGTTTCGGGGCCGTTTTTGGGCGTTTCGATGCCGTTTTCGGTGGTTTTGGGGATTTCGAAGCTGTTTTTGGGGATTTTGGGGCCGTTTTCTGTGGTTTGGGGGCCGGTTTTGGGCGTTTCGGGACCATTTCCGGGGGTTTCGGGGCCGTTTTTGGGCGTTTCGGGGCCGGTTTTGGGCGTTTCAATGCCGTTTTTGGGGGTTTTGATGCCGTTTTCGGTGGTTTCGGGGCCGTTTCCGGGGGTTTCAGGGCCGTTTTTGGGTGTTTCGATGCCATTTTTGGGCGTTTCGGGGCAGTTTTTGGGGGTTTTGGGGCATTTCGATGCCGTTTTTGGGCGTTTCAGGGTGTTTCAGGGCCGTTTTTGGGCGTTTCGATGCCATTTTCGGGCATTTCGGGGCGTTTTGATGCCATTGTCGGGCGTTTCGGGGCCGTTTTTGGGGGTTTTTGGGCGTTTCGATGCCGTTTTTGGGGGTTTCGGGGCTGTTTTTGGGGGTTTTTGGGCGTTTCGATGCCGTTTTTGGGGGTTTCGGGGCTGTTTTTGGGGGTTTTTGGGCGTTTCGATGCCGTTTTTGGGCGTTTCGGGGCGTTTCGGGGCCGTTTTTGGGGATTTTTGGGCGTTTCGATGCCGTTTCCGGGGGTTTCGGGGCGGGCCTCAGGTGTAGAGCTGGAAGTCCACGCGGCCGCAGTCGTAGAAGGGCCCGGGGGGCTCGGGGGGGTTCAGGCGGCGGCAGCGCGCCCCTCCCCCCCCCTGGAAGTACCCCTGCTCCGCCCAGGCCTGGGGGGAGGGGCGGGGTCAGCCGGGACACGCCCCCGAGAAACTCCCCCCGAAATCTCCGAAATTCCTCCCAAAAACCCTGCCCAAAACCCCCCAAAAATCCCGCAGAAATCCTCCCCAAAATCCCAAAAATCCTCCCCAAAATTCGTCCCAGAAATCCTGCCCAAAACCCCCAAAAATCCTGCCCAAAATCCCATCAATCCTCCCAAAAATCCTGCCCAAAACCCCCAAAAATCCCGCAGAAATCCTCCCCAAAATCCCATCAATCCTCCCCAAAATCCTCCCCAAAATTCATCCCAAAAATCCTCCCCAAAACCCCCAAAAATCCTCCCCAAAATTTCTGCCCCAAACCCCCCAAAATCATCAAAACCACTGAATTCAACCCAAAACAAACAAAACCACCCCAAAATCCACCGAAAATCCCCAAACCCGCTGAAATCAGCCCAAAATCAACAAAACCGCCCCAAAATCCCCAAACCCGCTGAAATCAGCCCAAAATTAACAAAACTGCCCCAAAATCCACCCAAAATCCCCAAAACCAATGAAACCAGCCCAAAACCAACAAAACCACCCCAAAATCCCCAAAACCACTGAAATCAGCCCAAAATCAACAAAACAGCCCCAAAATCCTCCATTTCAGCCCCTCCCCACCCCCAGCCCCCC